ACAGCTGCGCCATGACCTGCCGCCCGCGCCGCGAGCCAGGCCTCGAGCCGCCGGCCGTTGGGGACGCTCGAGCAGGTGCGGGAAGCCCAGGGGCGCGCACGGGAGGCCCGCGAGCTCAGGTGCGGCTGCGCCCGGAGCGGGTCCCAGGAAGCCGCTTCTTCGGGCTCTTGGCGCGTACGACGCCTTAGCCGGTCCCCGGCTCGCCCCTGGACGCCAGGCGACACTCGGCGGCGACGCTCCCCCGACTCGGGACTCCACAACCCGTACCGTCCGAGGGGCGGGACTGCGAATGGCGGACGCTGGGAAGTTAGGGAAGGTGGCGGCCGGGCTGGGGGTGGAGCGCACCTGGCGGGGCGGGGCGGGCACGGCGCAGGCGCGGAGGGCGGGCACCTGAGACGCCGCTCTCCCACCTCCACCTGGGGCCGCCCCTGGCTCTTGGGAAGGAGGCGTGGTTGGCGTTGGCCCCGCCCCACCGGCCCTGGCGGGAGGGGTCCTGCGGCGCGCTCTCACCCTTGCTTGTGGGTTTTGGCCGCGACGCCATCGTGCCTTCGCTCTTGCGCTGAGCCTAGGGCAAGAGACGCACACTTCCGGGAAGACTGAGGCTTTCTGCCCCCCTTGCTTTATTCTGCCTAAATGCAACGCGCATTGAGCCATGACCAAATAAATGTCCCGGACTCAGAAGTGACCACGCCAGACTGGCCTGTGTGTCGTCAGACAGGTGCAGCCCGGAGTAGTGATGCGGAAGCAGAGGGAAGAGGGATCAGGAATGCGATGGGGAAATCCTAGGGTTGAGTGAGCAAGGGTTGGGACAATGAAAACCAGAGCATGGTAGGAGCCCTCCCACACAGGTTCCCTATTCAGCGCCACAGCCAGCCGGGCAGGGAACTGCCAGGAAAAAGGTGGCACGTCCCGAAAACAGCAGGTTTCCCTGGACCCTGTACAGGAAGATAAATACAGTTATAGAGAGGTCTTAGGGCAAAGATCAGAACCTCAGGATGAACAGACCTGAAGAGGGGTGGGGACAGAAACCACAGAACCAAGGGGGGCTTCTGGGAAGAGGGTCCATATAAACCGGATGAATGGAACAGGGCTGACAGGAGTAGAAGACCACTACCAAGATAATTAAGATGATTACATTATCACTGAAATAGTTCTGTTAGCCAGGAGGTGGTGGCGCACGCCTTTGATCCCAGCACTCGGGAGGCAGAGGCAGGTGGAGGCAGAGGCAGGTGGATCTCCGTGAGTTCGAGGCCAGCCTGGTCTCTAGATCTAGGACAGCCAGGATTGTTACACAGAGAAACCCTGTCTCAAAACACACACATACACACACACACACACACACACACACACACGAAAGAAAGAGAGAAAGAAAGAAAGGAAGGAAGGAGGGAGGGAGGGAGGAAGGAAGGAAAGAAGGAAGGAGGAAAGAAAGAAAGGAAAGAGAAAATGATGCTCTTGGGCCAGCACCTGCCGCCAAACCTGATGCATACATGGTGGAACTGACTTCCCAAAGTTGTCCTCTGACCTCCACACTTTAGCCATGGCACTTATCCCACATACATATAGACTCACAAATAAAAATAAATGTATTTAAGAAAAATAAGTGTTCTTGTTATTGTAAACAAGGCTGGCTTCGTTGCACACATCTGTATTCCCAGCAGCGGTGGTAGAAACAGGACTGGGATAGTCCAAAGCCAACCCCAGCAACAAGCAACAACCCCTGTCCCTCAAAAACAAAGGGAAACAAAGCCACCCGGTGTGGGGTGCAGCTCAGTTGGTAGGGTGCTCACCAAGCATGCGGGAAGTCCTGAGTTTGATCCCCAGCGCTACATAAAACCAACCTTAGTGGCACATGTCTGCAATCCCAGCACTCAGGAGCTGGAGGACCAGGACCAGGAGGAGTTCAAGTTCATTCTCAGCATAGAAAACTCAGACCGACCTGTGCTGCATGAAACCCTGCCAAGCAAAAGAGAAAGGAAAGAAAAGAAAACCCTGAAAACTGGACAGTGCATTGGGGGTGGGTTGGTCTAAATCAAGAGGGCCTTGGAATTGGCAGTGGAGGAAGGGATTAGTGAGAAGTCATCTCCATAACTGAAGGAAAAGAAAAGCCAAGGAGCAAATACTGCAGGAGCAGGAGCAGCGGATAGGTCTCCTTTTTAGAGATTATTTTATTGGCTGAGTGTTTTGCCTTCATATATGTATGAGTGCCACCATACCACATGTGTGTGCCTGGTGCTCATAGAGACCAGAAGAGGGCATTAAGTCCCCTGTAACTAGAGTTACAGGTGGTTTTGAGTTACCATATCGATTCTGGGAACCAAACCCCAGTCCTTGGCTCCTTGTTTGCAGACAGTCTCTCTGTGAAGCCGAGGCTGTCCTGGATCTCACTCTGTAGACCAGGCTGGTCTTGAAAGCACAGAGATCTGCCTGCCTCTGCCTCCAGAGTACAGGGATTAAAGGCACGTGCTACTGTTGTAGAATATTATTTTAAGGTGTGTTACTTTTGTTTATGTTACATTTGTTTAACTCTGTGAGTCTGTGATACTTTGCCTGTCTAAGACACCTGATGGTCTGATAAAGAACTGAACGGCCAATAGCAAGGCAGGAGAAAGGAATAGGCGAGGCTGGCAGGCAAAAAGAATTAATAGAGAAATCTGTGAGAGAAGCGATCTAGGAGCCAGAGGAGGAGGACTCCAGGGGCCAGCCACCCAGCTACACAGCCAGACATGGAGTAAGAAACAAAGAAAGGTATACAGGAATAGAAAATTGCCCAGAGGCAAAAGACAGACGGATTAAGGTAAGAAAAACTGGCAAGAAACAAGCCAAGCCAAGGTCAGGCATGTATAATTAAGGATAAGCCTCTCTGTGTGATTTATTAGGGATCTGGGTGTCAGGCTCTCCAAAAGAGTAAAAACCAACCAACAACACGCCACCTCACCCATGTCACAGAAAATCTCTTGATTAGATATCTGGGTATTGTGGGAGCCAGGGCCACTGCGGCCATTCTGTTGTTTCTCGGCTCAGAACAGGAAATGTGAGTTATCAATACAGTGTCTCCCTTAAGCATCTAAGAGAGTTTTATGCCTGCCTTCTTCTTTGTCTTGCCTTGAAGTTCTCAGAACTTCCCACCAGGGTCTAGTTGTGCCTGTAAACATCACCAAATGGCTGGAAGGCGTGGTTGGGGAGAAAGCACACATTCATTCACTGGACCACTGAAGCAGGTACTTGCTCAGCACACATTGGGAGTCAGGTCTTGCTGAAGATGCAGGGAATGTACAAGAGTGAACAGATCCTGGCTTGGTCGGAAGTCACATAAAGAAATGCTCCCTCGATGGTTGATGCGTGGAGTGACACTGCTGGAATACTCCTCGGGTGGGCTCAGTGGCCCAGGCCTCTAATCCCTGCTAATAGAAAGGCTGAGGCAGAAATATCATGAAGAGTGGTGGACAGCCTGGGCTACATACCTGAACAGTCCGGGCAATATAATGGAGTCTCAAAAAAAGAAAAGAAAAGAAAAGAAAAAGCTGGGCACAGCAGTGTCCTCTTTCAACCCCAGCACTCAGGAGGCAGAGACAGATAGATCTCTGTAAATTTGAGACCACCTGGTCTACACAGCAAGTTCCAGGCCAGCCAGGGTTACAGAGTGAAATCATATCTCAAGAGGTGATGGCACACACATTTAATTCTAGGACTTGGGAGGCAGAGGCAACTCTGTGAGTTCAAGGTCAGTCTGGTCTACATAGTGAGTTCCAGCACAGTCAGAGCTACATGGAGAAATCCTGTCTTGAAAAAAGAGAAAAAGATTTATTTATTTTTATGTGTATGAGCATTTGCCTGAGTGCATATATGTGTACCATGCGTGTGCCTGGTGCCCTCGTAGGTCAGAAGATGTCAGATCCCTTAGAAGTGGCATTCCAGGTGGCTGTGAGCTACCATGTGGGTGCTGGAAACAGGACCTGGGTCCTCTGCAAGAGCAGCCAGTGCCTTTAACCACTGAACCATCCTCCCAGCCCCTGTGCCAGGCTGTCTATGTGGGTGTTAGGGGGCCAAACTCAGGGCCTCACCTTGCAGAGGGGCACTTTACTCCTCAGCCCAGCGTGTGCCCTTTTGCCTGTACCCAAGGTGCATGACTTGAACTCCCTACCTTTGCTACAGCCCTGCTTGAGAAGCAGACAATAAAGCGAGTGAGTAAATCATGCACAACTTGAGGAAGTGCTGTTGTGCAGAATGAGCTCAGGGACAGAACGCCCGCCTGCTCAGCGTGTATGAGGCCTTGAGCTCACCCAGTATTTCAACAATACAGGAGGTAAGGTTCTTGCTGCTTCTGACCCGGGTGAGAAGACTTGCAAAGCCAAGGTCTCCCCTTGTCACCCCTGGTAACATTCCTACCCACTCCATTTCTCCCGGTCGTATAATGAACTGTAGACCCACTGTACTTACTGCCCCCCAGCGTGAGCTCTGGGTAGATCTCCTCCTATACTGTTTGCCACTTGTGCTGGTACAGTGCCTGGTAGAGCAGGCACTTGATAATATTAATTTTTAAAAGTATTTGTTGTGTGTGTGCCGCCCCCCCCCCAGTATCTGTTTTGCAGGAGCCCTTGGAGGTCAGAAGAGGGCGTCAGATCCCCTGGAACTGGAGTTACAGGTGGTTGTGAACTGCCATGTGGGTGCTGGGGACTGAATCCAAGTCCTCTGCAAGAGTAGCCAATGCTCTTAACTGCTGAGCCATCTCTCCATCCCCCCCACCCCCCACCCCTTTTTTTTAAGAGAATTCTCACTATGTAGCCTAGGCTTACCTTGAACTTTCATCTATCCCCTTGCCTCAGCTGTTCAAGTACTCTTTGCCACCCCACCTCAAGTGCTGGGATTCATCATGCCTGAAAATGTTATGTATGTATATATGTATGTATGTATGTATTTATGTATGTATGTATGTATGTATGTATTCATTCATTAGTGTGTGTGTGTGTGTGTGTGTGTGTGTGTGTGTGTGTGTGTGTGTATGGACGCTTGCAGGAGCTGTACCGCGGCAGGGTGAGACCCA